AGGATGTATGAATTAATGGTGTAAACGGTGACAGGGTTGTTCTTTAATCTCTTGGTAACTGCTATAATGGTGCAATCCAATAAGAGGTTAAATAAATGTAACAAGTATGACTGAAACACGATTGGCCTAAAATAATATTATTCCTGTATTATTATTAAAAATAATTGTTGTCATTGCTTATTAATTTGATCTCTATAAAATTATTAAATTGTATTAAAGTAGTCAAATTGTGTAAGTCAATTAAAATTATATATCTATTAATATAGTTTTAGAAATAACAAATTAATTTACACTGATTTTACATCTATTTCTTTTAATTATTCTTCAAAAAGCCTGCTGAAAAAAAATTCAATATGGAATAAGCAGTTTCTTTGTACATGTATTCTTCTATTTTCCAATCACTGTATATGTGCAACACTGAGCCGACTTAATGCCTTTTGGCACTGTCTAACAACAAACCTCGAGAAAATAGATGTGTCAGTAAACTTTGCAAAACACTATAGATAATAATATAAATATGGTTCTTGTGCGATAATTACATGCAAAAATCTTAGTACTAATGTGAATTTCCATTTTGCTTTATTTCTGGGTTCTGTGTATAAAAGTATGACAAGGTAAACTAAAAAGTACATTGTGGATATTCATGAAACTAGCTTTGTTTTTGTAGCTGCAAAATCAATTGCATTTCCTATTTTTAAAATTTGTTAAAATGAAAGCAAAACAATACGACTGTGACAGCATATCCGACGTTAAAAATACAGGGTTGTTTTTCAGAGTATCCAAATTTTACATTTAAATTCAAATATATAAATAAGAATATACCTTTATTGCAGTTTTTGAAAATACGAGTAAGTAAGGCTTCTACTTTCATTTGAAATGATCCCAAATTGAATGTGATATATGGGCAACAAACTATGCGTACGCGCGCTTCTCTATGTACGATTTAATTCATACCGTTATTCCCGACCGCGCGACCCTTACGAATGTGTGCGCGCGCAGTAAAACAGTAGGCGTTAGATATTTATGAACGACAATCAGTTGAAATAGGGCATTACCACGCATTCTGAATTTGAAAGATAAAAGGGATAGAATTTTGAAATGTTTTTAATTAACTTTTCTTCAACATTCGCCTATATTATGTATTCTGAACCTTCTCTGCATATATTGCAAAATAACCCTGTATATGAAAGACTAGATTCTATTCCATTATGGCGAAAGTACTAATCTAAACTACTAAGGGACGTCCATTAATCACGTGATGACTGATTAAAAATGACACACATGATTAAAAATGCTAAAAAAGCATTTTTAACACCCCCTCCCCTCCCTCTTGATGATACGTGGTGAGGTTTACGACTTTTATTTTATTTATGTTTATATTATGGTTTATTTTGAGTGTGGGGGTTACTCCCCCACACACACCCAAAATCACGTGTATTTTTAGTACATATAAAGTATAATCTAGTTTTATTCTGAAATTAAGAACCATGATAAAAATGTCTAAACAGAAAGGTTACAGGTTGTTTTGGACTGGCATAAAAATAATGTTAAAGGAATGGTGTAATCATGCGAAAAACATATATTGTACTAGTACATGAACATATTCAATATTGTACTAGTACATGACCATATTTAATGCATATTGTCCTCGGACCACGGATTAGCAAGACTTTCTTCATCACTAAGAACTGGATAAGCATCTTGCAAGTCAGTTGTTGGCACTATGCTTTATTGAAGATCAGCGTCGGTTTCATCAAGAGGATGCGTGAAGGACGAGCATTGTGCATCTCTAGACTATTATTGCTCAGATTAGGTTCATACTTGTGACATGAATTTACATCTACAGGCGAATCAAGGTCACATTACACGCCGCTTTTCGGTTTAGAAATCGCGCGTTTGACGTAAAAATAAATAAACGTGATAATCTTACTATACTCCCTTCCCACCATGTGATATTTCGTGATTTTTGTCAACCCTCCCCCCTTTCGAGCCTCACGTGATTAATGGACGGCCCCTAATATTACGTCGAGACTTATTATATTATATACGTACATACAGTCAAACCTGGGTAAGCGAGAACTGGATAAGTGAGAAAACTCTATAAGTGAGAGTAATAGCCAGGACCCGTCATTTTAAGCTCCCAAAACCTCTATTAGCGAGAAACAGAAACCTCTGCTGAGAGAGAGTCGTTTTTCCCTCATGGACCTCCGTAAGTGAGACTGCTACTTATATATACCTCTATAAGCGACAGTCGAGCTTTATTTATTTATATTATTTAGCAGGAACTATAGCTACAATAAAAATACATACATACATTAAAGATACATACATACAGTAACAAATGACAAAACAAATTACATATTTAACATCTGCTATTTTACCACTCATTCTTAACTTTCGTGGAACTTCCCACCATTGTTTTTGTATTGGTTTCTCGTCAATATTATACCTATTCTATATCGTGAAACTAAATAACGTTGTTATTTTATCGCATTATTTTCGAATGGACACGTGAATTTTTGTTTTATTTTCGTAAGCATCTTGATACCTACCCTTATAAAGTACTTATATGTCGAAATCTAATGAACTTAACATACTATTAAAAATATATATGTGCATAATATATGTTGTGCATATTATTCACCTAAATTTATCATATTACATATTTACTACATTCGTACGCTACACTCGTCCTATAAGAGAGAAACGCTACCCATGTACCTGCATTAGCGAGAAACTCGGGTTAGTGAGAAACCTCTATAAGCGAGAATGAGATTGTGCTCCCTTGGACTGTCGCTTATCCAGGTTTGACTGTACATAATTATGTAAATAAGGAATGAGGTGCTTTATGTTACAAGTATTTATTTGTTGCATACTAATGCAATTTAGATGATATTTTTCAAGATTTACAAGAAATAATCATAAAATTAAAAATTAAACTCTTTTATTTGTTTAAAGGAATATAAATATATACAATAATTTCTGTCATTGCATCGATTTGTCAATAGAAATCTAGATTTATGAACATAAAACGTTTTATTTAAAATAGTTTTAAGAACGATTTTCAATTTGATTTTGTTTTAAAACAATAAATTTTTATGTGGGATAATGTCACATTTAATTCAGAATCCCGCATTAAGATGACTTTTCTCTCCAAACACTTAGAATTTTTGTTTAAATTCATAACTCTTCAATGATCACTTGTTTTAAATATTTACACCTTAACATTTTTTTGAATATACGGTAAGACAAATATTCTCATTCTATTCCATTGTAGGTTTTAAGTTCAAATATTTTAGTTCATTGATCTGTTTCAGTCAAATATGCAAATTTAAAATCCTAAAGTTATTTTAATCACTTCAAATGTAGTTTTTCTACAATGATATGAAAATTTCTCATAAAAGAGTTTTGTAGCATTCAAACAAGGAAACAATTGTTTCCATATTTTATAATTTTGACTAACAAATTATTATAAATACTCAAAATGACTAACACTGTAATTGTATAGTTATCCAAATAAAACATGTTTTATAAATAATAATTATTTTATTAAAATACTGTTATTAAAAAAAAACTGAATCCTCAACAATCCCTATCATCCTGTCATCCTTTGACATAATGAAAGCAATCATATTTAAAAAGTATAGATATTTCATGCGCAACAAAACTGAAGTGTAATCAATGACACAAAGAAAAAAATTAAAACCATAGAGGGTAAAACAGCACAAAGTCCACCTGATGTAAGTAAATGCTGTAGCCCATTTAACCTCGATTAAAAATCAAAATGCAGATGCGTTGTCACCCTTGAGGACTAAGATGGAATGCCTCGATTCCAATAAAACGGGTCTCCAGTTCTCTACACTCACCATACGAAACAGCAGCATTAAGCTGCTATTTTACGCTGGTATTCTGTGAGAGCGTGGTCCTTCCCCGGTTGAGCGGACCCATTCATGCTACAACCATAATATAGCTGCAGCGTGGCTCGACAACGTATAAGACCTAATCATAATTCATTATTACAGCCCTTCACAAGTCCACTGCTGAACATAGGCCTTCCCCAAGGAATGCCACAAAGCACGGTCCTGAGCCACCTGCGTCCATCGACTTCCTTAATGTCTTGCCAGGTCGTCACTCCATCTAGTGCGGGGACGCCCTACACTGCATACCGGTACGAGGCTGCGAAAACCTTTTTCGCCGTAGACTGAAGAAAGATAAATATTAATTGTTATGGTGATAATCGTGCTAATTTATTACGTCTTTTATGATTAAATACTCATTACACCATTATAATTCTTAATAACATTTTTAAATGGTGTAATAACTTTACACCATTTTAAAATGTCGTCTCGTATCACAGTCACTTTGACTTAATGTAGAGAGACATTGGCCATATATCTTCAGTTTAGGGATACGATTAACGACCGTGTCGATTTTTACATTTATAATATCTATACTCTACTAATATACTATAATCTATACTGCCATTGGTATCATCGCGTCGACTTCTTGGTGTGGTAGAGAAACCGAACATTTATGGATGGTTGCCAACAGCAGCGCTACATTTAGTTGTCCTACACACGTTGGCCCAACGTGGGTGTGCCTTTAAGCGTTTTACGTTGGGAGGTAAAGAGGCATCTGCATCTCCATTTAGTATTATCGGGGCATTGCAGTTTTTAGGGGTCTTACAGTGTTTTTTTTGTAATTTTGTGACCCGTGTTGTTTTGCAAGAACAAAACGTACTCCAAAGGACTTTTCGTTTTGTTATAAGCTTATGTTGACGTTAAAAATAAATGCTAGCATTTTAGTTTCCCACTCTTTGCGAATAGATTTTTTTGTCTATAGTATTCCGCTGTTTTACATAAATAAAATTATTAAAAAATTCTGGTTGTTTTTGTAAAAAGAACAAGTTATATAAATTTACATGTAAATTGCAATACCCGTATTTATTTTACTTATATTTTAATAATTGCACTACTACATACATATGTACAAATGTAATGCTATGAATTCACCTCCCATAGTTTCATATCATTCTCAACTATTTCCGCAAACATTTTTGCTTTATTTTGTTCTTTAAAAAGTGGTCTCAGGGTCTTCAGACCGAGACCTAATAATGCGCCATTGCCGAGCAAGTCGTTAAGCTTGAAAGCTAGAATAGGATTGTAATGGAGACGTAGAAGACTTGGCCTGGAGTATAAATATTGACTGTCTCGTAGGTTTACTTTTGCCCACGTCTCTACTGTCTTGTTTCCGCTGGCTATCTGTAAAATAAACGACATATATTATAACAATTGTAAACTACTCACCACAAACATTAAAAAATATACAAAAAAAAATAAGTATATAAAAAATTTTGAAAAACGGAAATGGTGGAAAATTAAAGAATATTAGTTCAAGGTCACTGATAAAATATTGTTATTATATTGCATCTTCAGATAGTATCTCTATGAATATTATTTTTATTGGTCAAACTGAAGAAATGTTTATGATTCAAAATTACTATAACATATAGGTTTAACATCAGTTTGTTTATCACAAGAAACTTCCTTACTACTTAGGTTACTATTAGTTGGATGTTGCTAAACATTTATTGAAGACTGTATTATATTATTATTCAAATTAATAAACCTAAAAGGCATTCATGCTGGGATTCCACTCTTCAGAAAGAGAGAGTCTTTTCATCACATAGCAGATAAACGAAACAGTTGCACTACTACAAGCACGTGGGGCATGTTCGTGTCCATCTGGCCGCTTGTCGCGTACGCGGCCAGACTGGAAAGAACCGGTTACGCTGGCACAGCCAGTGTACAATCTCAGGGTCAGTGCGACGCGCGACGCACATTGTTTTGTTTTGTTAGATGCAAGTTTGAATAATTTAATGCAAAAACGTAGTGTTAATAATGGTTGTTTTTGTAGTGTGTGTATGAATATACTCGAAAAAATAAAAAAAACATATATCATACTTTAACTATCCTTACCTACCTTTATTTTATTGTATGATCTTTTTTAAAAAGAAGAGGAGAGAAAACACGGTGTGTTTTTACCTTTTTATTATTATTACAAGCTTTTACTAAACATTTGTAGGTACGTGGGTGGTTTGGTATGGAGTAGGTATGTGTGTTAAATTTATTTTGTTTAATTTGTCTTCACCTATTGTACAACCCTACAAAAATAGGTAATAATTTTGCACGTTCTCGTCCACCTGATGGTAATTGGAAACTGTCACCCATAGACATCTACATTTTACAGAAATTTTGAGTATCCGGATAGCATGCGCTTTATAGGTTTCAGTGGAATTCACTTACCTTAATTTCACCAACTTGTTTGAGGAAATACGATGAGAAGTAAAACCTGAGGTTGTCTGAGCTGGAATGGCGCGCGTTGCGCTGCCGTATGTACGCGCGGAGAAGATTGTAGCCTGTCCGTTTATATTTAAACACCTGGAAGTTTGATTGAGTTTGTGTGTATACGATTCGATTTACACGTAAAATTGTGGTACAATTTGGTGTTCCGTGCATGTCTTTTATTATAGAGACAATCGTTATTTGAGAGTCGAGCACAACTGAGTGAATGCTGTTTTTATATTACGGTCGCTACGAATTTTTGTGGTACTTTTACGTATTATCTTAATGTCCCCGTATCTCTGCAATTGCAATCGCATAATTCTTTGATATAATAGTAAGACTATAAATAAGTTCGTTCCTCTTTGTTTTGAGCCATACTTAAACAACTATGTAATATCACCACTGTGCCTTAAAATGCTGATAAGACCCAAATAGGCTTGTTTGAAAGTTTTTTTTAACCAAATATAGTTCTGAGAATATTTTCAAAACATGTTTTTGAAAGTTTTTCTTAATAGTTACAAAATATGGCGGTTGCACCAAAACGCACATTTTGTAGATTATATTAGCTGGCATCCTCCCCTATCACTACAGCCCCCTCCCGCACTGGTATGTCCAATAGAAGGCCAGATATGGTGGCGTCATTTTGGGCGACCAATAAGAATCGCTGGCCGAAAAGTGAAAGTTCGAAACACGCCGTCGGCCGGCTTAATGTTGTCGACGTGGCGCCGCCGCGCCGAGTACCATCGCTATATGTAATTGCACCTCTGTGGCAGTTGCGCCACAGAACAACCTAGAAGTAACCGCTCGCATAGTGTGAGTTATCGTCGCGCACCACCGCAGCTGCAACTTAGCGCCGTCAACCTCAGGCCTAAGTAAAAGACCGCAAGTGGATCAACGCCCAAGTAAGTGCACCTCCTTTCTTTTCCTAACGTGAGCTGTTCTCATTTGTCGCAGCTCCTTTCCTACAACAGCTCATGTTCCTACCTTTATCAGCTGATATAGTGAATTAGATCAGAGCAAGTGCATTGCCCAAAACCCGGCCACGTGCCACTTCCGCCAGCTTGCATTGGTTATAGCGAACCACGCATAGAGTCCACATATAGTAAAATCTCGCATAATAGATCTTGACCCGACCCGGGAATCGAACCCGGAACCTTAGCTCTACCATTTTCAGATTCTTTCGATCCGGATACGAAGGCCAACATAGTCACCCTAACCATTTAGTGACCATCCGTTCCGGATTCGAACCCAGGAACCATTAGCGTCACCATTTTCTGGTTACTTCGATCCGGATTAGAATCGGGACAACCGCCGCACCATTTTCTGGTTCATTCGGGCCGGATTTAAAATTAGCACCCTACCGCTCCACCATTTTCTGGCCCTTCATTCCGAATATAAATTTAGTCAGTAGCGCGACCATATGGTAAACTAACATATTAAGGAATAGCCGGCGTTTAGTCTGTACAAACTGACTTCCTCTATTTTTTCCCTAGATAATGACATTGGAGCAAAGATTATTTAACGTTTCAACCTATACTTATAGCTACAATTGTTATGTTTCTAAAATGTTTCTTTTCATAAATAAATTATTTTAAAATTAGGTACCAAAGTCGTCTAGTTCTTAGGTTAGAGTATACTTAAGTATACTCTAGGGTCATTGTTAGACATCCAGAAAACAAAATTTTACGAATATAAAAAATAAAAGAATAACATACAGACGTAACCACAATCCTTTTTATATCGTACTTGAAAAAAAATTAAATTGGTCCTGTTTTGAAGGAGGGAACAGGGGTACTTTATGGGATGATGATTTCGTCAATTTTCATAGGTATAATCAGTCCCTTATCTCTCTCGGGTGCCTACTTCTGAATCGTATATCGATTGGTTTAATACTCAAAGATCGAGGGTGTACGGTACGAAAAAAATCACGATGAAACATCAGGATTTTTCAGAGAGTCACGTGGATATTTATTTTTTTCTTATAAACAATGACAATGACAAAGGAGAAGCTGGACAAACGAGAATGCTGGATGAAAGAAAGAAAATGTAGTTCATGTAGGTATATTCGTTGTCAGATACCTAGTATCGAAATAGAATTAAGGTACCTATTACGTTATCACTGGCATTAAATAAGATCACCTACTTACCTGATAAATAAAATTTCCCGTAACATACGAGTCGATGTAATGCGTTCCATAACTCTTCATGAATTTTCTCACTTCAGTGGGGTCGCTGACGTTTAAACTTTCGATTGCTCGTTTCACGTAATCTTTGAGGGCAACGTTACGCAAATCGTCTATTTGGACGGACTTGTGCACTTTTGTCAATTTGACTAATACGTAGCAACAGCTATCTGGTTTCGTGTCGTATTCGATTCCAAATGCTCGCATAACTTCATCCAGTATCCAATCACCTAGGAATGCCTTCCATGGTTTGTCTGTTCTGAAAATAAATGTTAATATTGTTTTGTATCAGATTTAATCACAGTTAAACCAGCAACTCACCTTGGATTCGCACGGGTGACTGGTGGTTTTTAATAGAAGTAAGGATGGCAGACGAACACACTGCACCTGATGGAAACTGGATGCCTATAGACCTAAATGTATCCTTGATTAAGAATCGAAATTTAGATGCGTTGTCACTTATGAGAACTAACTAAATAGAATGCTACGTTAACAGTTAAAAGTGTATCCGGTTCTTAACGCTCGCTTTACCGAACTTGAACCATTGTCGTTTTAACTTTTTACGATTTAAACACAAACTACGAAATTTCTCTTCTAGTCTAACAAAAACATCCCGAATGGTGAGTGCAATGTTGCACACTGAACCTCAATGTTAAGTTGGAGAGGTTGTTGACCTCTGGTCAACGCTAATGAAGTCAACGCTATGTCTTCTTCGTGCTCTAATTTAATGTCAAGAAAACTTTCAGCTCGATTTACGAAATAGCTTTCTGTACCTACAAGTTTGCAATACAGTAAACGGTATCTACGAGGGTGGATTGAAAAGTACTCGGCCTAACCAAGAAAATAAACACATACTAAATCGGTTATATTTTTATTTTTCTACATAATCACCATCAAGTTCAATACACTTTTGCCACCTCCCCTTCCAAGCATTTAGACCGTTGAAAAAAAATGATTCTTCCTTAGAGTCAAAATATGCGTCTACAGCTGCTTTGACCTCGTCGTTTGTCGAAAATCTTTGACCTCCCAAGTGCTTTTTTAGGTTAGGGAACAGAAAGAAGTCTGATGGTGCCAGATCAGGTGAATACGGCGGATGCGGTAACAGTTCAAAGCCACAGTTGTGAATTTCAGCCATTGACTGTACTGACGTGTGAACACGGGCGTTATCTTGATGAAACAGGACTTTTCTTCTGAGCATTCCTCGACGTTTTTCTTTTATTTCCTCTCGTAAACGACGTAGTAAGGTGCAGTAGTAATCAGAGTTTATAGTCTGTCCCCTTTCAAGATAATCAATCATAATCACACCTTTCGAGTCTCAGAATACTGAAGCCATCACCTTATTTGCCGACAAAATCGACTTAGCCTTTTTAGGGGGTGGTGAACCAGGTCTTCTCCACTGTTTTGATTGTTGTTTTGTTTCCGGTGTACAGTAATGAACCCATGTTTCGTCCATAGTAACAAAACGATTCAAAAAATCATCTGCATCGGCTTCAAATAACTCCAAACAGTCGCGTGAAATAGTCAATCGCGTCCTTTTTTGTTCAACTGAAAGCAGTCGCGGAACCCACCTCGCAGACACCTTGTGGAAACCCAACTCGTTGACAATGATGTTTTGAGTTCGTTCATAAGAGATGCCTATAATCTCGGCTATCTCTCTAATTTTTAATCTGCGGTCTCCCATTATTAAATCAAGTACTTTTTTAATATTTTCGTCAGTAGTTGACGTCGAAGGCCTTCCAGAGCGGGTTTCATCTTTCACACTCTCTCTACCACGCTTAAATTCTGCTATCCATTTTTTGACGGATGAATATGACAGAGCATAATCGCCTAATGTACTGACCATGTCATCATGGATGGCTTTTGATGATAGCCCCTTCTTATGGAGGTACTTAATGACGGCACGCTGCTCGATTTGCTCCATTCGCGGAAATTATGTCCGATTACTTTGTTAATAAATTTATAAAATCACAACTAATTATTGCACACGTTTCGAACTTCACACAATGAACTAGTCTGAACTGAACTAAATAATGTGGGTAGATTTGATTTTTAGAATTGAATGGATATGTGTTAGGCCGAGTACTTTTCAATCCACCCTCGTATAAATGACAAGCTATTATGTTTTGCATAACCCGTCGCAGAAGAACCCAAAACTTTAATAAGACATTAAACCTCATGGCTGTTTGGCGGGAAATTAAATTGCAAATTGCAGTAGCGCAATTGACAAGACAAATATCTATGCATGCGGCTATTCTTACGCAACTTCTATACATCCCGCATTGAAGAGGTGATTATATATTTTTTACAGGATAAGGATCACAAACGAGCACACAGTCCATCTGATGGTAAGTGGATGCTGTGGCCCATAGACATCTACATTTATCCTCGATTAAGTATCAAACTGCAGATGCGTTTTCACCCCTGAGGACTAAGATAGAATGCCTCGATTCCAGTAAAACGGGTCTCCGGTTCTCTACACTCACCATACGATACACAGCAGCATTGCTATTTTTACGCTGGTATTCTGTGAAAGCGTGTTCCTTCTCCATTCGAGCCGACCCATTCATGTTACAATAATAATAGCTGCAGTGTGGCTCTACCACGTAGGTGATATTAAGGATCCAAATTCATTGCCAGAGATCTGTCTGCCAGAAAGAGCCACTTATCTAAGTTGAAGGGCGACTGTAGCAGCGTCATTCCCGGAACATCAGAGATTTTGAGTGAGATTTGGAGGTTCTACGGATAGCAGTAAACATTGTCGTTATAACCACAGGCAAGTGTAAGTAAAGACCCAAGTGTAAGTCCTATCTCTCAGCATTCTGGTGATATGCCGGACATAAATTTTAGAACCGCTCATAAAAACGATAAGGCCGCGGATGAGGATAGAATTATAGCGGAGCTTCTGAAAACGAGTGGAAAACCATAAAGTTCTTCAGATGCTGTTCAGTTTCATCCTCCATGGTGGCACTACTTCGGAGGCGTTCAAGAAATGCGACAACACCGTATTGAAGACCTTTTTTTTTTTTTACATGGGTAGTGAGTCACTTAACATCAGGTGAACCGTATGCTCGTTTACCCCCTCTTCTATAAAAAAATATTTTAATCTTATACTTTTAACTTCTTTATTAAACCGTTTTTATATAAACCTTAAATTATTATTAAGCATACGTCCAATACCCGAACAACACCATTATCAGAAAGATACACAGTGAGTGCTCTTTAGTGATTTTCCTGCACAGGTGCGCACTCTATTCCCACACTATCATAATCCAATCCCACACTCTCATAAACCGACACGAACGGAGAGAGATCAGGCGCTAACCTACGGTTTCACGAGCTTTCCGAAGCACGGCACGGGGGTGAAACATCGTCAATTGCCTGACTCCGGGTCGTGTCTGAGAATTTCAATTTGTGTTCAATATATTTCAGGGTGTAACATGTGAACGGAGTAGAAGCATATGGCACTGATATTTTCCAAAAAAATTAACACAATTTTTTTTAATTAAATAAATTAATTAAAATCTATCGAAATTTTAATCATATACATACTTTACGAACGGTAATAAAACAATACATTTTATAGGCATCTTTGACCTTGCCACTTCGCAGGGCAGGTAGTCTAGGTTGGATTTTATTTGAATTTCGATAGATTTTAATTAATTTAATTCAAAATTTTTGTTCATATTTGTTTTGTAAAATATGAGTGCCATAGGCTTCTACTCCTATTTTTTTCCAAATGGTAAAAAAGGGTTATCCAGTATATGCACGTGATGTATAAATAAATATTGACTGCTTCACTGTCGTAAGCTAGACTGATCATGTGGTCAAATCATTTGTTTGGTTTTATATCAAAAAAAATTCTCAGTCGCAATCCCCGTTTCACCCCAGTGCCGTGCTTCGGAAAGCTCGTGAAACCTTACGTTAGCGCCTGATCTCTCTCCGGTCGTGTCGGTTTATGAGAGTGTGAGATTGGATTATGATAGTGCGGGAATAGAGGGCGCACCTGTGCGCACACATTCGTGCATTATAATCCTGTCCTGCATATATTTCTAGTCTAAGTTGAGACTAGCCGCGCGACTGCAAATGGTCTTTTCTTGAAGGTCCCAAGTCGTATCGATCCGGAAAAATCTCTGGTGACAGTCGATTCCACAAGAGAGTTGTGTGAGGAAGAAACTTCTTTTAAATGGCACAGTAGTGGACCGCCAGTCATTCAGGTGGTATTGATGGTATCGCGATATGCGATGGTGAAATTGTGCTGCTGGAATTAATCTGAACAATTCCTCAGAGCACTCCCCGTGGTAGATGCGATAAAATATGCAACATCTCTTCGCAGTTCTAGTGAGTCAAGCCGATCGAAAAGAGCTCGATCGCCGACGATTCAAACTGCTCTGCACTGGATGCGGTTAAATGGACGAAGCTGGCACTGAGGAGCCCGAGATGATCCCAGAGATGGGAACAGTATTCTGTGTGCGGCCGAACCTGCGCCTTGTAAAGTTGCAGGCGGTGAGCCGGCATGAAATACTGTCCTGCTCTGCTGGGCACGCCAAGCTTTGAATATGTATGTAGATTTGAAGATAGATTTCATTTGAAGATGATTTTCAACATAGTTTTCGTACCACAAACCATATACATACCCTTCGAAAAATGTTACAGAAGATCGAAGTGTACAATCTACCTCTTTGTCTCGAGTATGTGAACTATATATGAAATTTTTTTTCATTTGATTCCGTTGAGTTCAGCGAGTGACGACCTGGACCGTCATTTGTAATATGCCTTGGCGAGTAGGTCTCACTAGCTTAGCAGTGGACTTGTGAAGGGATGTAATGATGTTCATGATGAATTATTATAGGTTTAGCATGCTATTAGGCACTCTACTTCAGTCTTCAGCGTGACAGCTCATCCCATCTAGAGGCTTCTATGGATTTGGTTGCGGTAACCAGTTGCTCTAATGCTATTTTTTTATAAAATAAGGGTGCAAGCGAGCACACAGCCCAACTGATGATGAGTGTATGTAATACCCGATAGACTTCATCTATTCTCGATTAAGAATCAAAATACAGATGCGTTGACACGCCTGAGAACTTAGATGAAATGCCTCGTATCCAGTAAAAGGGGTCTCCGGTTCTCTACACTAGCCATACGAAACACAGCAGCAATGACACCTCATTGCTGCTGAGTTTCGTATGGCTGCTTTTGCGCTGATAGAATATCAGATGACAGCGTGCTCCTGCTCCTTCGCCGTTCGAGCTGACCCATTCGTGCTACAACCATAATATAGCTGCAATATGGCTCTAACACATTCAAAATCTGCAGTTTTTGAACACTCACCCTTCTATTCGAAAATTCTGGAAATAAGTCGCCAAGAGATCGTCAAAAGTATCGCACAGCAAGATGTTCATATCGACCATTGAGTCGCCGCTAGACTGTCTGCTGCTGACATTCAGGAACACGCGGATATTCTTCTCTCTAAAGGGTTCCACGTGCGGCGGATTGTCTTCCTCATAATCAGCTGATACGACTTGAGTAACTTGTGATAGGTCTCCATAGCTATATTAAAAATAAAGTAATATGGTGAGATGTCTTAAAAGATTGTGGCAATTTTTGTCTTGCACTTTTGGCACTCGACACACTTTTTGGCACACTTTTTCTTGCATTTGGGGGGAAGGGGATAAGTCGCTCGCGTCCGTAGGCTTCGACCACCTAATCCTAGACCCACCCTGTGTGGCATAATGTTAAGAAAGGTTTAGTGGATGCAGCTACTGAAATATGTGGTGTTAGTAAGAGAACAAATGAAAGAAAAGTAATACGTTATGGTGGGATGATGAGGTACGTCTGGAAGTTGATGCAAAGAGGCTATGCTATGGCTTGATTTACTAGCTACCAAAGCTGGTAATTCTGGCGGTATGAATGATGAGATCGAAAGAAAAAAAAAGGCAGAGTTTAAACGTCTAATTAAGAGAGCAAAAAAATTAGTTGAAAGGAAAAAGCAAGAAAGAACGGATGAGAATGATAGAAGAATATCGGATAACTTCCAGACAAATATTAAAATGTTTTGGAAACTCTAAGAACTACCAGGAGACATTCAAAACAGCCTAGATTGAATGCGATGCGAGAGGAGAACGGCTGTATTCTGAATGATGAAGTGTTGAGTCTAAAGAGATGGAAGGAATGTTTTGAATGCGTATTTAGTGTGGAGACGTGTGAACTAAATGAAATTCCGAAAGAAGATGAAAGAGATACGGAGATAAGTATAGATGAAATAATGAAAGCAATGAAAAACATGAAAGTAGGTAAGGCAGTGGGATACAATAGAGTTTCACTCGAAATGCTAAGGGCTGGAGAGGAAGTGGTGGCAGGCCTGCTGCACACCTTGTTTAATTTATGCTGGGAACTGAAGCGGGTACCGGGAGACTGGCGCAAGCCGTGATAGTTCCAATATATAAGGGATAAGGGTCACAGCAGGGCTGTAAAAACTACCGTGGTATAAGCGTGCTTAGCATTGTGAGGGTGAACTGTATGCTAAGGTGTTAAATGAAAGAGTCATGAAAGAAATTGATGGAAAAAATAGGATGAGCAAGCTGGAATTAGAAAATGAATGGGGTGTACAGATCAATGCGCATGCGCATGATCGCGGAGAAGTTTTTGGCAAAAACCAAAAAACTTTTTGTGCGTTCATGGACTTGGAAAAGGCTTATGATAGAGTGGACAGGGATATGTTATATCAAACGCTGAACTCATTTAGGTTAAGCGCTGATTCTATCAATTAGCAGGTAATAAAGTAAATAGGGCTCTACACTCTATTGTGAAAAGTCAGAATGTATCAAAAAAGGCACTTATGGTAATTCACAATGCTGTATTAGTCCCTACTTGAACGTATGGTAGTGAAAGTTGGGTGTGGCAGAAGAAGCACGAGAGTAGAATAAATGCAGTAGAAATGCGGTCGCTATGGAGTATGTTAGAGCTGAATCTGAGTGACAGAGTGTGAAACAGTGTGATAAAAGAAGAGTGTGGTTTGCGAGATGATGCGGTGACCAGGATTAAAAAAGGAATGCTTCGGTGGTTTGGTCATGTAGAAAGAATGAATGAGGAAAGACTGACAAAGCAAAATATATGTAGCAGAAGTGAAAGAAATATTAAAAATGGGCCAAATTAAAAGTACCCTTTACCGACGAGTATGTATGCGTAGGTATAAGGCGAGAGAGGTATGTCAGGATCGTGCTAAATGGAAGTCTGTAGTCCTCCGGGTGACAGGCGGGCATAATTATAAAATATATAAAAAAAAATATAATATATATATATATATAATTTTTATGTGTAAGAGAAACGTATATAGGATAGGACAAACGGAGAAAACAGTACTTTTATATTTTTTATAGAATAAAGGTAGCAGACAGTCCACCTAATGGTAAGTGGATGATGTGTGCGTTGTCACTCATAAAAACTAAGATAAACTACACTCAATATACGAAACACGGCACAGCATTTAGCTGCTATTTCTCGATGGTAGGCTGAGAAGGCCTGATCCTTTCCCGGTCGAGCCGACCCAGTCGTGCTCCAATCATAATATGGCTGCGGCATGATTATACCAATTACAAAACAAAGATATAATATATGGATTAGCGGGTTATTAAAAACAATGATTTACCTATGCTATGAAAGAAAATAGACATCAAAATTTATTTCTGGTTTAATCTGGTTTTAAAATATCTATACACATTTTATCATATCAACTTTTATAACGATTTCGAATGTTACAAAACGATCGTCGCATCACAGCCGGTTTTATAACTAAATAAATAGAACTATTATAAAATAATTTCTTATATTTACGCAAACACTACACATTTAAATAATAATAGATACAAGTTTTTACGGATTTATTACGTATATCAACTTTTTTTTATATACCCATAAATGTCTGCAGTCTGTGAACACATACAGGATCACCCCCGTCGCTACATCCAATTTGATAGACCACAAATCCTTGCTAAAGAACACCGATTCCTTCCAAGGATGATTCGCGAGGCTATTGAAATCAAAAAACATCCTAATTTCAAAAGAGAGCATAGCTGGGCGCTATCATCTGCTTGGGATCCTATAATTAATGATATTAAATCCCAATCCAAGCATACAACTGCAAGACTTCAAGATAATATAAGTTTATACTGTGTAGATCGGAACAAAAATTAATAATTTTAATCTGTGGTAACTGCGGTTAACAATTACATCTGGACATTGAACATCTCAGTCCCCCCCCCCCTTCGGCGACCATGGGTGCTGTAAAGCGCTCGAAACGTCGGGTATTTAAAAAGTTAACTATACGCGATAAATTCCGTAAAAACTTGTATTATTTAACTATTATAAATGTATATATGGCTATAATATGCACAATCACTTACTTAGCAAACACGTCGATGGCGTTCCCTATATTCAATCCGTATCCTAAATCACTCTCCTCACTCTCACACAATCCACAACACAGGAAAACCGCGAAAAGTAGCCAAAAAGGCATTTTGATCTAAGTATTCATAATTTAATTAAGCACGCCGCGCGGTGGCGGCATATCAACTGGGATTTTTTTACATTTTGCTAATGTTAACATGGAGTAAACACAGAATGAACTTGACCTGAGAGATTAGTTTGGTCGCATACGCTATAATATCTATCTACACGAAACTCTTTATTGGGCTTTGTTCACGAAACTGCTCTAAGCTGTCTTCTCGTTCGTATCTTATAGCGAATGTATTTGTTTTTCGTTATTAATTTCTATGCGAATTGCGTAACAGAAATCATGCTGATTCAACACATCTTATGTACTATAATATAGGTAAGATACATTTTATTGTGTTGTATACAAACAATACATCAGATAAATGATTAAATGTTAAAAATACTAATGGGTCACAAACTAAATTTAATTGCCCCCAATTGATTGTTCAATCCGTGCCGAGTAGTGGCGGATGAGAATATCCACTACCCCATATCTTCCCGTGGGTGTCGTAAGAGGCGACAGAGGGAGACAGGCAAGAGATGGGCAGCAGCATCTTCCTAATAACAACAATAACATAATAAAAAGCTGCGGTTGCCAAACCGCTCGCCAAGCGTGGCAACTATGGCAAATATCCCCCCATGAGCAACGACGCAAACAAACGGCTCCCAGTCACCAGCAGCCCCGCTATTCCTGGCTACGGTGGCGACCATGGTAACGGCGGGGCAGGGGGTGCTAAGAATCTCCGGTGGAGGTTCGGTTGCCACCTACGACGACTCGACCTGACAATGTATAACGCACGCACCCTGAGGACTGACGAGAAGATACTGGAGCTGGAAGAAGAGGTAGACAGGTTACGCTGGCATATTATTGGATTATCTGAGGTCCGAAGAGAGGGGGAGGACACGGTAATCCTCGAGTCCGGCAACTTGTTCTATCACCGGGAGGGTGACTATCTGTCCCAAGGAGGTGTCGGATTTATCGTCCACAAGTCTCTCGTCAACAACCTTGTAAAGATTGGGAGTGTGTCGACGAGGGTCGCGTACCTGATACTCAGAATCATCAAACGGTATTCGCTGAAGGTCATACAGGTCTACGCACCAACCTCGGCACATCCCGATGTGGAGGTGGAGGAAATGTATGAGGATATTTCTAGAGCCATGCATTCCTCCAAAACCCACTACACAGTGTTGATGGGAGCACTTCAACGCAAAACTAGGCACAAGAGAAGGCGGTGAGCTGAAGTTAGGGGAAATTTGGTGTAGGGCAACTGAACCGTAGGGGCCAGCAGCTGGCTGACTTTATGGAGAAAGAGGGACTCTTTATGATGAACTCTTTCTTCCAGAAGCGGCCCCACAAGAAGTGGACCTGGTCGAGCCCCGACGGTTCGACAAAAAATGAGATTGACTTCATTATGACGACCAGACGCCAACTGTTCAGTGATGTCTCAGTGATCGCAAGGGTGAAAACCGGCAGCGATCACCGAATGGTTAGAGGCACACTGAACCTAAACGTTAAGTTGGAGAGGTCTTGTCTAATTAAGTCAACGCTCCGTCCCCCTCGTGCTCTGATCCAGAATCCCGAAACCTTTCAGCTCGAGTTACGTAACCGCTTTCAGTGCCTAGAAGATTGCAATGCAGTGACGAAAAGACAACCCCCCCAAAACTCTCTGAAATCTCATGGCTGTTAGATGGGAGATGAGGCTGCAATCATCAGCAGATTTGACAGCATACAGCCAACTGAACGGACAGATCTCCAAATGCACGCGGCGAGACTTACGCAACTTTAATACAGCTCGTATCGAAGAAGCGATAGAGCGGAACCAGGGCTCCAAAGCCTTTGCCAGAGATCTGTCTGCAGAAAGAGCCAACAGTCAAAGCTGAAGACTGAGTGTGGCACAACTCGTTTCCGGGACACCTGAGATTGAGTGAGATTGAGAGGTTTTGGGCAGCTGTATATGCCACACGCAAGTGTGAGTAACGATCCAAGAGCAAGTCTTACCCGACACTATTCCGATGATATCCCGGACGCCAGTCTAAGCGAGATTAGAATGGCTCTCCAGCACCTTAAAAACGGCAGGGCCCCAGGCGAGGATGGAATTACAGCGGAACTTCTGAAAGCGGGTGGAACACCGGTACTTGAAGTCCTTCAGAAGCTCTTCAATTCTGTACTCCATGGTGGCATTACTCCGGAGGCGTGGAGCAGAAGTGCGGTGGTCTTGTTCTTTAAGAAAGGCGACAACGCTCTCTTGATGAACTACAGACCGATTTCCCTTCTGAGTCGCGTCTACGTGCTGTTTTCGAGAGTCATTACGAATCGTCTCGCACGCAGACTCGACGACTTCCAGCCTCCCGAACAAGCCGGTTTCCGAAAAGGCTTCAGTACCATATACCACATACATACCCTGCGGCAGATTGTACAGAAGACCGAAGAGTACAATCTGCCACTTTGCCTGGCGTATGTGGACTATGAGAAAGCCTTTGATTCCGTCGAAATTTGGGCGGTGCTACAGTCCCTTCAGCGGTGCCAAGTTGATTGTCGGTATATCGAAGTGCTGAAGTGTTTGTACAGTAAGCCTACGATGTCTATCCGAGTACAGAACCAGAGTTCGAACCCTATCCAACTGCAGAGAGGTGTAAGACAGGGTGACGTTATATCCCCGAAACTCTTCACCGCTGCGTTGGAACACGTTTTCAAGCTACTGGACTGGAAAGGATACGGTATTAACATCAATGGCGAATACATCACTCACCTTCGATTTGCCGACGATATAGTCCTTATGGCAGAATCGCTGGAGGACCTTAGCACTATGCTCAATGACCTCAATACCGTCTCCCAATGGATAGGTCTTAAGATGAACATGGACAAAACAAAGATCATGTTTAATGTCCATGTCACACCTATGCCGGTAATTGTTGGGAGCACTATGCTTGAAGATGTTGACGAGTACGTTTACCTGGGACAAATAGTCAAACTAGGTAAGTCCAACTTCGACCGAGAGGTCAATCGACGGATTCAACTCGGCTGGGCAGCGTTCGGGAAATTACGACGCATCTTCTCGTCAGGTATACCTCAATCTCTGAAAACTAAAGTGTACAACGAGTGCGTGTTGCCAGTGATGACTTACGGATCTGAGACGTGGTCCTTCACTGCTGGCCGTATGAGGACGCTCAAGGTCGCTCAGCGAGCTATGGAGAGGGCTATGCTCGGAGTTTCTCTGCGAGAAATGAGGATATCCGCAGAAAACCAGCGACCGATATAACCCAACGGATTAGTAAGCTGAAGTGGCAATGGGCCGGCCATATAGTTCGAAGAACCGATAACCGATGGGGAAGAAAGGTTCTCGAGTGGCAGCCTCGTACCGGTAGGCGTAGTGTAGGGCGACCCCCCACTAGATGGAGTGACGACCTGGTAAGACATGCAGGAAGTCGATGGATGCAGGTGGCTCAGACCTCAGCTAGTAATTCTCTTTGATATGAAAATTATCTTGCAATTTCAAAAAAACTAGGACCGTGCTTTGTGGCATTGCTTGGGGGAGGCCAACTTTCAGCAGTGGACTTGTGAAGGGCTGTAATGATGATGATGATGATGATGATGGTTCAATCTTATTGATTAAAGAAGCAATTTGATAAACAAAGAACACCTATATTTATTGCATTTGTGTTTATTGTATTGTTATTTATAGCCTCAGGGTTCATCGTTAACATCATCACTTCCGACCTTCACAAGTCCACTACTGAACATTGGCGTCCCTCAAAGAATGCCACAAAACACGGCCCTTGGCCATCTGTATCTGACGACTTCCTGCATGTCTTACCAATTTCTCACTACCTACCGGCCTGCACTTAGCCTACCGGTACGGAACTGCCACTCAAGAACCTTTCTTCCCTATTGGTTATCGGTTCTACAGCTTTAAAGTCAGCCAGTTGCCACTTCAGCTTACTTACTTATTTTTCGCTATTATAAGCCGGTACTCATTACTCAACTATTATCAAACGAGACTGACCAGGCATATCTTGGGCTATGTCGGTTACTCTGCTTCCCCTGCCAATATCCTCATTTAGAAATCTATTTATCAGAAAGCCTCCAATAATAACCCTACCATAGCTCGCTGAGAGACCTTGAGTTTCCTACAGCAAGCGGTGAAGGCATTCTTAGCCTTACTTATTTGTAACTTGAAATATATTATGTAAACTTTTTATTAACGTCACCAGCAGTTCGGTGTGAATTATATTGTGTCATCATTTAAACATCCGCGTTGGCTACTTCGGCCTAGATTATTAGACTAAGTTTTTATACGTGATTCAGTCACGTTACAGATAAATTATGATTGTAGCACAAATGGGTCAGCACGACCGGCGAAGGACACACACTACTGAGAAAGTAGCGTTATATAGTCGTGTTTCGTATGACGAGTGATGAGATCTTTATACTGGTCCATTAAGTTCTTCAGGGGTGACAATGCAAACTCATTTGATTCTTAAGGGATGCATGTTTCTATGGACAAGACCATCCACTACCCATCTGGTTGAATTTGTGCCCGAATTTTATTTTAAACTACTGACATGCTTAAACAGAAGCGGCTATTGGGTCAGTTCCTATCTCTTTCCATTAGATTAGATCTATCAGAGATTATCAGAATTATTAGGGAAGGTGACAAAAGTAGTGCTCGGGTAGGCTAAGTATTTTTAAAATCTCTTTCTATACTGCATTATTTTTTTAATAAAAAAGAAAAAGTTACCTTCGCAGTATCTTTTATATTGAATTGTGGAAGTGTTTTACATACATAAATTGTACAAGGACAAACATCCCGGTCCGGAAAATTTTTGGTAGGTAATCATTTTCTCTGTGCGGAATTCGAACTCGCAGTCGTTCAGCGCCGCCACCAAACACTTAGCCACTACACTACTGAGCCGTCTGATAAAACAAGATATTAGAGTGCTGTGGCCGTTATGCACATAAAAACATAAAATATTATGAGATGATCATGTATTGACATACATGATCGTCTCGTATATGATCAT